GATGGTATTTTCTATGTAGAAAATCCCAAGTTATCTACAAATACCTCCTAGAATTAATAAGTGAGTTTAGTAAACCATAGGAGACAAGGCCAACAAATATCAGTTACATTAGCAATAAACAATCATAAACCAGAATTAAACATTAATACATACTAGTGTAGGTACCAAAATAAAATAAAATACCTAAGTGTAAATATAACAAAACATGTATAGTGTCTCTATGTTGAACACTATAAAATACTGAAGAAATAAATCAGAGAAGACCTAAATAAATCGAGACATTCCCTGGATTGGAAGACGCAACATAGTATAAGTGGAAATACCCTCTTAAGTAATTTATAGATTTACTGTAATTCCAATAAAAATCCCAGCAGGAATTTTTCTGTTTGTAAATATAGACAAGTTGATTAAAAAATTTGTACCTAAAGGAAAAGGAATTTGAATGTCCAATACAATTCTGAGAAAAGAAGAATAACATTGGAGAATTCCATTACCTGATTTTAAGACTTCCTATAAAAATACTGTAACCAAGACAGTGTAGTATTGGCAAAGGGGGAGACACATAGATCAGTAAAACAGTACAGAGTCCAGAAGAGATCCACACAAATATTTTTTTTGTCAATTAATTTTTTATTAAAGTGCAAAGGCAATTCAATGAAGAAAAGGACACTCTTTTCAACAAGTGATGTTGCAAGAATCAGATAACTATATGTCAAAAAAATGAACCTCAACATAAATCTCACATCTTATAAAAATTACTAAATGGAACACAGATCTAAACGAACAATGTACAATATAAAGTTCTTAAAAGAAAACATAGGAGAAAAACTTTATAACTTGAATTTGGGCTAAGCGTTCTTAGATGTGATACCAAATAAAAGAAAAAAAAATAAACTGGAATTCATCAAAATTAAAAAACTTTTGCTCTTACAAAACACACTGTTAAGAGAATGAAAGGACTATAGCTACATAGAGAAAATATTTACAAATTGCATATCTGCGAAAGGACCTGTACCTGGGGGAACAGCCAGGGCCTGACGACCTTGCACCCTGCCACACGGGTCACACAGGCAAGGCTCCAACGACCTCTGAATCTCCACAGAAGGCCTGTGACCCCCCTGGAACATGAGAGACTTGTGAGGTGCTGCTACAAGGCCATTTCTCACTTGCCTCCCTATACCAAGGCTGTCAGGAGACATTTTCTTATTGTTTAAAGAGTTCTGATGGGGCTGAGGCTTTCTGCCTCACCGCCCTCAAGGCACATTTGCAGCTATAAAACTGCTTAGCAGCATCAGGACTGGGCTTCTTAGCAGCATCATAGAATGGGCTTCTCAGCAACAGTGTCCCATTACTCCCATTGCAGTCATCTGGCCTCTTTTGTGTCACTGTCATCCTGTGCAGAGGCCACAGAGAGCTGATACCTTTGGCTACTTGTCTTTTTCACGCTCTAGGTAAGCAATAAAGTGAGTCTCAGAAAGGCTCCTTGTTCCTTTACTGTCTGAATCTGTCAGGCTGGCTTTCCCGTGCTTGATAGTATTGAAATATATAAAACATTCTCAAAGCTCAATATATATACACACATAAAGTAACCCAACTGAAAAATAGACCACTCACCAAAGAAGATATCTGGAAGACAAACATGCACATTTAAAGCGCATTATCATTATCATTAAACATTAGGGAAATGCAAATTAAAACTACAATGAGATACCACAACATACCTATTAGAAAAAAAAAATACAAGTGCTGGAGAAGATGAAGAGCAATTGGAACTGTTACATTGCTGGTAGGAAGGCAGAATGGTAGACACTCGGGAAAAACAGCTTGACAATTTCTTCTAAAGTTAAACATACATTTGCCTTTCTGATTAAGTAATCCCTCTCCTAGGTGTTTAATCTTAGCACCCAAATAAATAAACAAACTGTGAGACATCCATACAGTGGGATACTATTTAGCACTAAAAAGAAACACACTATTTATTCATGAACATGAATGAACCTTCAATGCATTTTGCCAAAAGAACGAAGCCATTCTTAAAAGGTCACATACTATATGATTCCATGTATATGACAGTCGCAAAATGACAAAGCTCTAATAACAGTGGTTGCCACAGGTTAGAGGTTCAGGGAGAATGTGTCTGCAAATGGCATGGGGAAGTTTTTGGTTGTGATGAAACTGCTGTGTCTCCTGAGTATGTTGGTGGTTGCATGAATCTGTACACATGTTAAAGTTTAGAGAACTTAAAAAGGGCATTTTTACTGGGCGGGGGGTGGCAATTTGCTGTATGTTAATTTAAAAAAAATAAAATTTAGAGAGAAGGAAAAAAGAAAGAAGGGAGGACTGTTGTATAATAAGAGACTTAGGAGGGCCAGCCGAGTGGCACGTTGGTTAAGAGCTGGCTTGGAATGCCAGCTCTGAGCAGCAGGGCCCTGGTTTGGATCCCACATGGGGGCCAGTGACACCACCCTCTACAGCTAAGATGGTGAACAACAGCTCAACCTGGAGCTGGGCTGCCATGAGTTGCTGGTGACGGCATAGGCTGCAGTGGGTTGCCATGGGCTACCCTGTGTAGCCAGTAGCCAGCAACAGCGGCCGGCAGCCGGTGTAAGCTGCCAAGAGCCGCCGTGAGCGGCTGTCCAGAGGCCGGTGACCAATCTGCCTCACCCGGGAAGAGCGCAATGATGGCGCTAACTTGGGCCAGTGAAGCAACGTCCTCCACAACTAGACTGAAGAACAAAACAACAGCAACTTGTCTATTCCCCTTCCCCTGATTCCCCATTGCTGTTCCCCTCCCCCAACTCCCCCAATAAAATATTAAAAAAAAAAGAGACATAGGAGACAATACAAAAATGTGCAATTTGTCGACTTTGTTTCGATCCTGATTTGAACAAACTAGCTACAAAAGGCATTGATACAACCAAGAAAAAATTAATGTTAATTTGGAACTATATGTTAAATTTAAGTTTTTAAAGTATGATAATTACCGTGTGGTTATGTAAAAAAACAAAAAAATAATTTCATCAGTTAAAAACCTATTCTGAAATATATATGTGTGCATGAAAAATAGGATTAAATCTGAAATTTCCTTTAAAATAATTGAGAAAAGAAGTGAGAGAGACACATTGGCCAATGTTGAAGCTAGAAGTTCATTATACGACCTTCCCATTTTTGAGTATGTTTGAAGTTTCTGTAACTTTTTTTCTTAAAAATGGAAAATTCGATTTCAAAAATAGAGTAGAACCTTTTCAACATATATTATAAAGCAGTTGACATGATAGGCCTACAGTTGGTTTCCATCCCAATGTCAAATCTTTCCATTGACTCCAAATAAATAAATGCTGTGTATGCCAAAAATAATACTGACCTATGAAAAAACCTAGTATCCTAGAAATCTTATACCTTGTGCCGTAAACTACTAAAGTTACTAGATTAGTGAAGATTTGCAGTTAGATTTTACAGTGGCAATTCAAAACAGTTTCTTTTACATCTTGTCATTTCAATGACACTATCAAAGAAATAAGGGCAACAATGATTTTAAAGCAATTAACTATGATTCTAAAAATCTCAGCCCAAACCAAAATTGCTCAGGCTTTTTGATTCTCATTAATTATTTACACAGTGTGGCTTGCTTGCTGTGTTTCTCCAAACTGTTCTTTTGAGTATGATTATTATTTATCGTTTCTTGAGCACTTTGCACCGTGTGAGATACAGAGGATAAATTCCCTCCCTAGGAAACACCAATCAAAGCCACACAAGCACAACACAGCGACTAGCTATTTAAGAAATCAACGCCAAATGAAAAGGTAAGAAGCACATTCTGAACTCCCTATTTTGCTTTCAGTTTTAAGCTCATGATACAACCCATGTTTCTCTTGAGGGGGCAAAACGAGAATAGTTGGCAAGATAAGCAACCAATTTAGAAGAGACAGAAAATGTCCCAGCGATCATTCCAAGGTAGTATCTTACCTTAGAAATCCTTTCACTTTCTTATATATCAAAATTACAAGAACCTATTCCCAGCTCTAGTGAACTGTAATAGCTTTGTGCATGTGTGTGGGAGTGAGTATGAATTAGGTCTGCCCAGCCGACTTCTCTGTCCCTTTCTTTTGATATTACCACTCTGCTCCAGGAACTGCTTCTCCCCGGGACTGTCAATCATAGTGCTCCTTTCCCTTACCTGGTAATGACATTGTGCTGAAGGGTGTGGGCCTGGAGCAGCCCAAGGTCATTTTTATAGGACCTGTAATGAAATTTCTCTGCAGTGTCCATTAGGCCAATTTGCAAAGAAAAGAAAAAAGTAAGTGTGGACAGTGTAAGTGCTGGCAGGTTTAAGCCCTAGAGCCAGGCTCCTGAGACACTAGTTCCTACAGTTCTTTAGACTGAACGAGCTACTCCACAATCCATTTAAACTAGCACATTTGGTTTTTTTGCTTAGGATGGTGTGAATTGGGTTTCTTTTGTCATTTGCACCTGAAAGGATCCTGAGAAGTTAAATAGATTGCCAAAGATCCAACGGGTCCTAAATTGTAACGTTATCATTCAAACCCACATTTGTCTACCACTATATAGCAAGCTTTTCCTACTATGCTAATCTATTTTATATCCTACAGCTGTTGTCTTCCTAAAATCTAGTTTCCTTTAAGATTGGGAAAGGAAGGGAAAGAGGCTGAGGGGTGAGGATTGATCTGTCTAATCATGTATCGTTTCCTGGTACTATGAGGGAGGTGAAAGGGGCAAGTACAGTCCTATCTAATAAAAATTTACTTTAACCCATTTTATATAGATGTTTAATGCAAATGAGTAAGAACTCAAGTTGGCAATCATATAAACTTCTACTCAATAGCAAGTCAAAGGTGTATAATTCTAGGAATGGTATCAAAGTATTTTCTCTTCCCTCTGCTCTAACCAATTATAATGGTTGAATTAAAAACTAATGTTTAATACCAACAACACCAACTAAAATGTTTAGGCTTTCTAAATTGAACAAGAATACATATTTCTTTCCTTGTAAAAACTACTTTATTCACTGTCTCACCAGTATATGCAAAGGAAAACAAGTACTGAAATGATCCCAAGTCTTTACAAATTAAATTAATGCTTTATTTTTGTTTAATTATAATTACTTTTAGTCTCAAATCGAACGCCGTTACCTCACTTTCCTATTTTAAATGCTTACTTTCTCCCTTTTATTGCACTTATCATGGTTTGAACTTGTTTATTTACTTCTTTTTTAATTATAACTTATTTATTCACCCATTAGCGAACCTTGCCAGTTTCATTTGCCATCATATTTTTAACAGCCTGGAGTATAGAAGACATAAAATATTTATTGAATTAATTTTAAAAGTACACTGTTCTACAATAAAAGTCACTCTTTTGATACATATAAAATATACCAAAATCTTAAAACTAAAGGATAATGAATTATTCTGTGTTCTCCTGTAAAACTAAGATGGAAATCTGTTGAAAGTCCAAGTGTCAGTAGATGACAGAACCAATGACATTCTCTAGTGGGGTTAGGCAAATGCTTAGCTAAGTGCTGGGAAGGCTTCCTGTTTCAACTAGAGTTCATTCATCTGCATGTAACAGGGACTCTCTGCATAAACTTTCTCAGTTTGAAGAAAGGGTTCCATGACTTAAGAACAGAGGCTTAGGGTGGGGTGGTAGAATTCCACTGTTCTGGGGAATTTAGAGCAAAACATAGCTGAAATTATTTTGTATTCTAAATTATATTTCTTTTCCTTTCAATGTCAATGCGCTGTATTGTTAATGATTTTATAGTATAACAAAAGTATTTCTGCCTCAATTTTAAACATTTAATAAATTCTGTTTTCTAAGAATTTTTGGGGTAAATGAAACAGTAAGGCTTCTAGAATCAGGAAATCTTTGCCTTTTAACTATACAAAAAAAAAATTAACATTTAAACCTTATGTTGGGGAATTTTAGAATCTTGGATTCAAAGATTTCTCCTCCCACTGTGTTAATCTTATATTTGCATTTGGTTTCTTTCTCTATAAGACAGCATACAAAAACATGTTTAGTGTTTCCTCCCTCTCCAGGTTGCGTTTTGTTTTGAGTAGATTTAAAACCAGATTAGTCGTAATAGGATTCCAGGATGTGGGCAGATGTCTGTTAGTCATGGATGATATCCTTTGCAATCAGCTCCTTCATTATTTCATTGGCACCACCATAGATTGTCTGAATTCGGGCATCCACATAAGCTCTGGATAAATCAGATGATTGAATGAATAAATAAAATACATTAAAAATTATAAAATTTTCCTCACCATGTAACTATTAATTACTTTAAAGTATTCATTTAATGAAATCCAAACAATAAAAGTTTTTCATAAATTACTTTCTATCAGTATGGCATTCATCCTCGATTGTATTAATTACGGAATTCTAGTAAGATAGTGATTATCAATATAGCTTTGTTTTAGTTTGCTTGAAGAGATTACAAATTCAAAATAACATTTATAGTTTTGATTTAATTTTGTAAAATTCACCACATATAGTATTTTCTAAAAAGGCCAATTTAAATTTAGAAATGGATAGAATGTTTTAATTTCTTGTTATCTTTAACGTTTTCCAAAGAAGCTGAAGTCCACTAGTTTTAGAGGAAACAAAACAGAAAAGAAAGTACATATTTTCTAACATCCCTTCAGATTCCCACCACCAATTGCTGCCGTCAGGGGTATAAAATGATGCTTTAGAAAATATTACTTCCCATAAAGTTAACAAGTAACTTATTTCTTGGAAATGGTTAATAGTCATTCCAGTAATGTATGAGGTTAAAATGCTGAGTGGCTGAGTTCACTGGCACAAAAAAATGAAAAACTGTTATCAAAAATTTACTTTTGGTAGCAATGACAATAACCTTGACACTGTCTAGCTGTTTTTACCTGTTCTTGTTTCATTTTATCCTCTCAGCTCTGGGATCAGGGAGAATAAATATTGTATTGTTTTTGCAGGTAAAGGAACTGAAGTGCAGAGAAGTTAATACATTTACTAATTAATAGTTTCTATTTAAGTGTCAAATAACAGATAATTGGCAGAGTGGGATAAGAAGGTAGGTATCCTGCAATTTTGGCAAGTATTTTTTTATTACATCGCAATATTTTCATTGACCCTAGAATGTAGAGCTAATTATTGAGCTTTGGACTTTACTAGTCGACAAATTCAAAGGCATTTCTTTTTCAAGCATAAAATCGTTTTTTTTAAATTGAATTTTTGAGACAAATTAAATATGCCAGCTCTCTAGGAACATGACCAATTCTGAATTTATCTTTCTCCATGTTTCATCATGGGACCTTGCAAAAAGCAAGTATTCAGTAAATATTTACTGATTTGATTTACTGTATGACAAAGGAATTCTATTGTCTCAATACCTACTTTCTGGAGAAACTTGAAAATCTAGAGACATTTGTATTTTTCTGTTGAACAGATTCCATTGTCCACAAAATCCAGCCCCTGCATTTAGAGGACCTTACCTGGCATTTCCGCCTACTTCAGCAATCTCAATGCTTTTAGACATTTTTGGACTGGGTTGGGCATTTTTTTTTTCACATTACAGAAGTTCCAATGGAATAAGTAACAACAGAGATCAGTAGACCTTTTATAGGTTACTAATTAAATTCAGTCATCAACTAAAATTAACAGAGAAAGGCAGCAGAATGAATGTTTAACCACACAAATGATGAAGCTCTATATCTCAGGCTACTCTTCCTAGCATGGCAGAGAATTCTTGAAATGGCAAAGCTTAAGCCTCGCTTCTCACAGGCCCCAAGCCTAATGAATAAGACTGAAATAAACTCATGTTTAAGGGCGGTAATTTAAAAACAAACAGAAAACAAATACAATGAAACGAAACAAAAATCACCTCTTTTTCTATGAAACCAAGATTCAGCAACACACACACACACACACACACACACACACACACTCACACACAATGTATATAGCTTAATCTGAGGATATAAGAAACACAATTAGAAAGATTTTTTTCCATTAAATCACAGTCTGTACACATCCACACACTGCCTAATGTATCTAATTATTTTTTTTTCTGATACTATCTACTACTCTCTCTCGTTATAAGAAGTTCCTTCCCTATGTCTTTGGGGAGAGAAATAACAGTCTAGTTTAAACCTTCATACAATCTTTGAGCTAACAAGCCGGCCAAGAAGGGGATTATTATTCCTGGAAGGAAATATAAGTCTCTGAAACTGAAACCAGGGATTTCAAATGCTAAGCCATCAAGCTACAATTTTCACTCGCTACTGACATGAAGGAATAGCTTCTGAGAAAACAGAGGCCAAGACTCACCCTCAAATCCTGGGCTATGTGGGTGGTTGAACTGCTCTTCCCCTAATACGCCTTTGTTAGAACCCGAACTAAACTAGACAGGCACTGAGCCACGACATGTGTGCTTTCCCAGCAGCAGTTGTAACAGCACAGGTAAGTAAAAAAATATGAACACCCGTTATTAGATTATTTTCCTACCATTGTGAATTATTGTGAATAGATGGATCAATATTGCAAATAAAACATGAAAATGCCCAGGACAAATTTCAGTGATAACTTCATGTGTGCTAGCAGAACTCAATGTTTACTTTTGAGTTCACGACTATATAGAGATAAAAATAACACAGGCTTTGGATGAACTCCTGTTTGAAGTAGTTCTAAAAGGACATACCAAAATCCAAGTCCAAGGATTGATTAAAAAACATCATTTAGCTACTTCATGCCTATAGTCACAAGAAAGGGAAAAAGCCCTACTCATTGCTGAGTTTTTATAAAAGGTTATAAATTATATACGCCCTGAGATAAAAACTTTATGAGCTGCCCAATAGCAACAGAAAATTAGTCAATTATGTCTATAACCTGAATAACTATGGTTAACCAATAAAATAAAATATTACTCAACTATTAAAAAAATGATATTAGTCCTTCTGTATAATAAGTCAAATAAAGCCAAGCATCAAGCTTTAGCATTTTGGCCTCTTCACTCTCTTTAAAAATGATGAAATCCTAGTGGTGAGCCGATAACGTAAAGCTGTTTCCATCTGCCTGAACACATTATGTAGTCAGCTGAAAGATGCAAGGATTTTGTACCTCCTTTCCCTCTATACTCCATGGACCAAGCACAGCGACTTTCCTTTCTCTTCACATCACCCAGAGGAGTGTCACAGAACAGCTATACTCACTTTGAAATTGGGTACTCCCACATGTATCCCCAGCCTCCATGGAGCTGTACACAGTCAGCGGCAACACTGTTTTGTACCTCAGATGCCCTAGGTGACCGAAATAAAAAGCAGAGAAGGGACATTTGAAATGGATTTGCATGAGGTGCTTCACAATCAGGAAACAAATTATTTATGAACTGCATACATTTATCAAACAATTAGAACTAGGTAGATTAGCCAACCAGAGATATAACTGTAATTGTGTGTAAATTGCATATGAAATAAATCTCAGGAGAATTTTCACAATAATGAATACTTTATCAATTATATTTCTGGCTGGGTTTTTTGATAAGGATAGAAACAAAATGTGGAAAGCATAGACTATTGGGCTTTGGCCACTTTAGGCCTGAAAAAGGTACAATAGAAACTTGAATTTGATCTAATTTATTTAGATTCTCTATATGATCTAAGTTAACAGTACAATTATACAGGCATCTAGTTCCATTTTTTTGTCTCTCTCTTTTTTTGTTTTTCCCAAAGATGTCACTTTCTGACTGAGGGCTGCAATTCTGAATTCTAGTAACTGAGGGGGGAAAAAATTTTTTTTTAGGGTTTTCAGAAATAAACTGAAAGTAAAAGTGAAAATCTAAGCGGGCACACTACTATTAAGTACATGTCATCATATAGGAAACTTATTAGTGACTATTTGGAAATGATTATTCCTAAAGTATATGTATATTAATATGAACTTTTTGAGAAATATTCTTTTCTGATCTTATCACAATAATTTTAACTAATCTGTAAGATAGCTGGTAGAGATTTCATTCACCTTAACATAAAAATGTTAGTTCAAAATTCTTTTCAACTTATTTTTCAATAGCGGGCAATATAAAGCAAAGGTAAGCACAAACATATTTTCCTATTTAAAATAATTTTTAACTCAATCCATAGGACAGGTGAGAGTGATTCCTAAGAAACACAGTAACAATATAATTATTAACAGACAAGACTCAGGGGCAACAGTATTTGGAATTTTTGTATTTGGCAAGTATTTTAGTAAAATATTTACTGGGCTATAACTAACTAGCTGTTTCCTCTGCTTCAAAATGGAATACCAGTATGTCTATATAAAACTGGAATTTTCAAAGAACAATGAGGTCAATAGCTATCCAAATATATGTTTCTTTCAAAAAATATCTAAAATTTATTTTACACTTTTTCCATCTGGTCAAAGAACTTGCTATAAATGTAAATGTAAAATGTCTCCCCCAAAAGTGCAAGTTCCTGGTAATTTCACATCAGTTTCAACCTGGTAATTTTATTATTTTGGAATGATTACATAAAACTATTCTGCATATTTCCCCATTCTACTTCTGACTGAATGGAACACAAGTTAATGAATAATGACAGGAACTTTTTCTAGGTTATTCTTGGGCTAATGAGATGTGAGAATGTTTATTTTTTAAAACAGAACAAACCAACCTCATGTCTAGAATCTGTTTTAAACTATGTTCTTGCATCTTAAAATACACAAAACACCTTATAGAGGTCTTTTTTCAATCAACTGATTTTTAATACCATTGCTAATCATCTTTAATATAAATGTAAGTCTTTTTCAACTTAAGAGGGCACTTTTCCTTTCACTTAATAGAGCATGGGCAACTTTTGCTTGGGTAGTCAATTATTCAGAATTTTTTTTTTTTTTTTTTTTGCTGAGCCATCCTGCCACCTGTTGGCAGCTCAGCGGCAGCTCAGCTTGGGCCGGAAATCGAACCGGCGACCCTGTTGCTCAGAGCTCACACTCTTGAGCCAGCTCTTAACCAACTGAGCCACTTGGCCGGCCCACAGAAATTTTTTTTTGACCTGAAAAACACCTTAAATAGAAATATCCTGTCCAATCTACTCATTTCACAGATATCAAAATGTTGTTCCAGAGAAAATTAAATTTAATTATAGTTATTTAATGAAAGAATTGGGACTACTCCAGGACCCTTAAGTTTTACTGTCATTTCTTGGTCTCACTATAGTGCCACTCTTCAGATAATTTGAAATTAAACTTACCAGAATGAACTAATCTGCCACCCTACTTCAGTCTCTTAGTATTTTATTTTCAATGGCATGCTAAAAGTTAAATACCAACTCGAGTAATTTTTAGCACATTATAAATAGACTTAATGGGACCTTTCAGTGTTTTTTTTTTTAAAGATTGGTTCTCATGGCTAGTTTTCATTGACACAAATTTCTTCCTTTAAGACCCTCAAGGTTGAGTTTACAGTTGGAAGAATTCCATAACAGTCTGTGAAAACACCACATTTTAATTACTGTAGCACACATACCAATATTTCGCCATGGCAGCGGTGCCGGGGTCCAGACGTTTCTCTTCATGCAGCTGGAGACAGCTGTCCACAAAAGCTCTGGTTACACAGATGCGTGTTTTTAATTCTGCTAGCTTATGCTGTACTGTCTTGAATTGAAAGGAAATGAAAGATAAAAATGAGCACAGCAGAAGAGCATATTTTGAGTCGCCTAGAGATAAAAAATTATATACTAAAACAATTTTAGAACAAAACAAAAGTAGAAATCACTAAGTTTGTTTTTTCCCTCCAAAAAAGAGGCATATGTTAACTAAAGAGCTTAAATTTAAAACCCACTATATTCCATTGCTAAGGAAATTTATACTAAAAGATGCAAAAATAAATATATAAATAATGATTGTATGTTTAGGATTAAAAATTGTAGACCAGTAAGATTCTTGAAAAACAGCATGACTTCGATGGGTGAGCACCATCTTGTGGTACAGTCCTTTATGTACAACTGTTGAAAAACACATTTTCCTCCGGAATCTAAATCCACGAAGAATTTTCCTCTATTAATAAAACTAAGTAATCATATTTCTCTATTCTCCTTCTTTGTCTTGAAATACAGTAATACAGTAACAATCTGGAGGGACAACATCAAAAGTAGTATTTTATTTTGCGAAGTATTGAATCTAGGTCTGTAGAATGCAATAGAAGAACAACCGAACCAGAGAGAGCACTCAAGAAATCAAAGTCCAGTACCCGCAACCTCTTCCACCTGACCCCCACTCCCTCCTCTCTTTCTCAATAGCTTAGCTAGCACAGTCTCTAACTTGAACTGAATTGTCAGTGTTAACATATCCATATACCTCTTCCTGCTGTTCATAAACAACCAAAGAGTATTCTTGGAAATCATTCTCTCTTGACCATCCTCAATTGTTCTCGACGGCTCTCACTTCAATCAAATTTTCTTGCATTCCTGACTCGTGGCTCTCACACCTTGAACTTTAAGTTCACAGCTGGTCTCTTTAGCACCAATTCTGGAACATCTTTTAGGAAAGTAGCTTGGATTTGAAATACTGGTTTTCCACTTTGGGTAACTTCCAAAAATTACGCCCCATTCTAGTTGACCTCTTAAGTTCAAGGCCTAGCGATAGTCAGTGGGTTCTATCTCCCTTGTAGAAATTCAGATAGAAAAAGAGTTGTGACCATTTTGCTGTGGAATTTCTGAGTGAGACCTTCACTGTGGCTAACAAAGGACGTGCGCGTTAGTCCCAAACATGTCTCCGTGAAGCTCAAACCAGGAATTAAATGTACCCCGCCTACGTACTGGCGAGTCCAAAGCCTTGATTGAGTTCTCAAAGGAAGGCCATGGGGACCCGATTGTCAGAGGATGTTGGCCCTGCCTTTGCTATTGGTTACAGCAATTCTCAAACCTTTCAGCATCGTGGTGGGCACAGTTTGAGTACTTTCCACTCCTGGAAAAAGAGTATAAAAGGAGTCTAATAAGACAGAGGGCCAGGCAAGGCCAGGCGTGTCGAGTGGAGTACGAGCTCTGAGGGACAGATTCCTCATAGGTGTGCCAACAGAGCTACCGTGCTGATAAAAAACCCAATTGGTTACCTTTCCCTTGGCTTTACCCCACCTTGTTCTAGAAAAAGACAGTGTGGCTGGCATCTAATGATTCCAAAACCAAGCAGTGGGAAGGCTGATGCCACACTTTCCCCACCTGTGCTCCATGGCCTCTAATTCAGAACATGCTGGGTTACATCAAGCCTTCTTCCCTTTATTTTTCTACCATCCTTTCTATTCATTTATATTTCATTGGGCCAAATCTCTACCCTTTAATCCGCACACAGTTCCCCACTCCCACCTTACATATTTAAGTTTACTCACAAAAAATCTAAAGATAGAATAAGAAATGAAAAAAGTGGGGAAATACGCTTCTATACATTGAAAACAGATATGTTCTGTGAAAACCCCTGCTTAAAACTCAGTTCTAAGCCTACTCCTGGTTTAGTTCAATGACACATCATTTGAAAAATGAGGGAAACTCTGACAAATCTCAAGATAGTTTCTCCCCACCCCCACCCCTGTGGATGGCACATTTTGAGAATTTATGCACTCTTCCTTATATGAGAGAACCAAGATCTCTAAGCCCAATTCTCTCATGAGAGCTGTTCCTATGGGAATGCTGGGAGCTTCTAGAAGCTGAAGCTAAATTTCAGACCAGGATGGGCTCATTTAGAATTCTTGTGTCAGTACATGCAGTGAGGTCCACAGGTTTGAAGGTATTAATGCCTCCAGGAGTACATAATTTACTCCTGGGGATAAAGAGATTAAATATGTACATATTCTTGGCACTGAGTTGGGTGTTACTAAGCATGTTTGCTCTTTGCTCTTCACTGCAGACATTGTATCATACTTTGTGAAATTATTCTCTAATAAACGGCAGCTACGAATTGTACCACACATTATTAGCATGGTGCTTTTTGTGAACGATCAACATGCTCGTAGCAATATTTTTTAACATTCATTCATAGTCACTAATAGATAATACCGCAGCTAGCATTTAAAAACAATTCCCTGAAGGTAGTAAATGGACCAGATAGAGTCTCCTTCAGAGCTCTAAATGACAGAACTCTTAGAATCATAGAATTATGGAACTGGAAGCCACCTTGGAGAGGTTAAGTAGCCCAGTATTGCATTTAAACACCACCATTAGTTGTACTCTAATATATTATGACTCAAATATAAACTATAATATCTTAGATTTGCTACCTAATTTTATAGTTAGTTAATCCCCCGCACAAGGTCTTAAGAACTGGATATTCCCTTTCTGGAGGAATGTAAGGAAGAAGTGTTATTTTTTTCCTCTTCTATTCCTTTTTCTAATACTTTGTGCCCTTAGAATCAAGAGCACATACCGCACAGGAAATAACTAAAGCTTGTGTTAGAAGAGAACACTGACTTTTCACTTCATTGTCTATGAGTGAAGGGAGCGGGGAAAGAAAAAAGGTCTAGCTATCTTAAATTTCCGGGTAGTAAAACTTATGCATGAGTTAAAAGTGTAGTTTCCAGGGGTCGGCTGAGTGGCTCAGTTGGTTAAGGGTGCGAGCTCTGAGCAGCAGGGTCACCGGTTCGGTTCCCACATGGGCCAGTGAGCTGTGCCCAAGCTGAGCTGCCAACAGGTGGCAGGATAACTCAGCTGGTGAGAGTGTGTGTTCCTAACAAGGTTGCCGGTTGGACTCCCGCGTGGGATGGGGGGCTGCGCACTCCCCCCCACACACACACAATTAAGATTGAACACGGCACCTTGAGCTGAGTGATCGCAAGTTGCTGACAGGTGGCCGGATGGTGACTGGACTTGGAGTTGAGCTAGCTGCGCCCTCCACAACTAAGATTGAAGGACAACAACTTGGCTGATCCCCTCCCCCAATTCCCCAATAAAATCTTTAACAACAAAACGAAAGTATAGTTTTCAGAGTTAGAATATCTGTGTAATCTTGGGTAAGTGACTGAACCTCTTTATGCCCCAGTCTCCTTATTTGTAAAATAGGATAAGTATGATAGTTATGCAGAGTTGCTATGAAACAAAACCCAAAACGAGACAATCCGTTTATCAGTGTCTGGCACACAGGTAGAGTGCAATGAAAAAAGTGGGAAAATACTGATAAATAATGATAATGATAAAAATAATAAATGACAGTTATTATCATTATTTAATACAAGTATCTGAATCTTGCTGTTCCATTGTCTATTCCATGGGAAATCATAAGGCTTAACATCAAATATGGAGAGTATGAATAGAAAGAAATGAAAATCTTATACTATTTGCTACTTAAGTATGGTAGGTCTCCATCTTAAAATGGAAATGCATTTTTCTGAAACGCACCTAAATGATCAGAAAGGCCCAAAATGTTCAAAATTCAAAGATAACAAAGTGGAAGAAAACTAAATAGTTATATGGTCATAAAATTACATTTGACAAATCATCATATGACATTTCAAAATCTTCTATTTTAATTTAATAACTAGAACCGTAGTATACACAGCTCTAGAATAAGAGATGTAGGCATGTATTGGTCATTCATCTTCTCTGAATACATTCCTAGATTAAATGTGAAAATATTATTCAAAGATATTTATCTGGGTAAAACAGAAGATTAGAAGAAATATCTCAGAAATCACAAAACATACTTAGAAAACAATACTACTCGTAGCGATAATATACCCGTGGAAGCAGAATGCTACTGCCACCTAGTGAAATTTTAGTAAACTACCTTTAAAAGAAGGCAAAATGGCACTTGGTTTGAAAGGATTAAAACTATTTATCTTTTTGCCATCAAAATATATTTATTCATAAATATATCAATATTTAAAGGGAGCCCTTTTCTTCTATGGGAAACATTATATCAATTTTCTGTTTCTTTCACGGTTAAGTGTTAAACCACATTTAACATTCTGAGCTATACTGACAACCTGGATAACATTATAGTCATCTTTGTTGTAATTTAATACGAATTTCACAATCATAGCAATTCTAGATTCCCAAGGAAATGAAAAATATGTCTATGTGGTTCCTTTCTTATAGTATCCAGAATAGGTCTAAAGGCATGAGTGTTTTAATAAACATTTCTGATGTGAAACTGGTGGTGGCTGGATTTCAAAAGCAAGTGATCCTAATTCCACTTTGGGTACCACTGGAAAGTCACAGAATGACACCAAGTGGCATCACTCCCTTTATATGGCTAAAAGCCTAAGTGTGTATGTCCAGAGTCATACCTGGGAAATTACTTCCGAGCACACAACCTTTAGAAAGCAATCAACGTGTATTGGCTCAGTGAAACAAAAAGGAATAAATCATGCAGGTCAGTATTTCTCAAAGGGAGACTGTTGGCATTTTGAGTGAGATGATTAGTTGCTATACAAAACTATCTGTAAATTACAGAACAGTTAACAACACTGGTCTCCCGAGCTTACACCTTAAGTGTCTGTGCATTGCCCTCCCTGACATCTCTAAATGTGTAGGGGAAGAGGGCAGCCATTGAGGGTCACTGATATGGGTAAATCAGTGATACACAAATGAAAGGGAATATAAACTATAATATCCTTACTCTTAAGGAAATCACAATTTAGGCAAGTCAGATTATACTGTTTTTAAAAATGCTTTCTTGACTAAACACATGCCTGATTTCCATAGATTCAGAACAACTGTGTTTAGATCTGTTATGTCCATAAGAGAGGATGTAAAGAAGTTTGTTTTTTTTTCCCAGAATGGAAAAAGTCAACTTGATGAATAAAGAGGCAATAAATAGGTCCAAAATGACAGAGTTGGTCCAGACCTGGAGCAAAAAGAAGTTGATAAAAAGGCTCTCTTTATTGGAACAAAATGAGGGAAGACATTACCTAAGGGGAAAAATAATAATAAAAGCTAACTTAGTGAGTGTTTACTTTGAAGACAGTATTCTAAGCACTGTATGTGTATTATCTCATCTCATCCTCAGAGTAACTCTATGCGGTGATATTAGTCACCTGATATTACTCACCTGATATTTCTTACAAATAAGAAAATACTTCTGGGAGAGATAATACAACTTGCCTAGACCAGATATTCAAGTAGCTGTGCTAGGATTTAAACCACATCTGAACTTAATTTATATAATGCTGGTCCTGAAAAGCGACAAAATGTTTCATTTCCTTTTCCCTTCAACAAAGCCTTTTGGTCAAGTCATTCTACTTAAAACTTTTCAAGGTAGATTGCCAAATCTAGGTTTTTTGCTGACAAAATGTTTCACCAATTGGATGGCTGCAATGTTTATAAACGGTTCCTTCATTTAAGAAGAAACTAGAGGGTCTAAAATTTCATTGGCATATTTAGTGATGATGGCCACCATATATACTGAATTCCTTTGCAAATACCTTAAGCTTCCTGGCAAAACCCAACCTTAATTAAACACGACCATCCACCGTCTCTGTGGATGACTATATAGGCAACTAAATCTTTCTAGAAAAGCTGATACACAAAAAAGCAGACGGTGCCACTATAAATTCATGATCGCTAACTTCATCTGGGTCCTCAATACTGCCAGAGGGTTACCATATTTCTCTAGTTAGTTCAGCTTGTCATTCTGAAGAAGGTCTGTCAAACCTTCCTTACTCTCCTCTGGCTACCAGCACGCTCCATGCATTCGCATCTCTTTCTTCCCTATTGTTATGTAAAGAAACGCAAGTCTTCAGAAAAGAGCTTTTGCAATTTTCTACTGACAGAACTGAGCCCATGCCCACCCTCCTTCCTCTTTTCTTCCTGTTACAATGGAGACAGCTTCTCTGTGTGGGAACGGGAAGGCCTATCTTCCCATGTGCTTTGGCACCCATCACCTTCACGCTTTCTCACAGAGCCTGTGCAGTTAATTATCCTCTCCATATCTGCAATATTTCCCTCTTTACCAAATCCTTGTTCCAGGTCTTAAAATATGCTCTAACATTCTCATCTGAAGAATAATAATAACAAAAAATTAACCATCTCCAAATATCTCACTTGGCCCCACATGTTTTCCCCCACTTCCTCCCTACCCTTCTCTTCGTGCCCCGCCAGTTACCATCCTGCCTCTCCATTAACATTCCCAGCCAAACTCAAGAAAGTGTTGCCTGCCGTCAGCATCGTTGCTTCCTCATTTCCATTTACTCCTCTACTCGCTGTAGCCTGGCACCACCCCTACACCAGTCCATTAAGGGCTCTTCTGAAATAACCTCTATATCATCATGTCCAGTGGGTACTCTGACCTTCATCTGTTTTTTCTCTCTAAGCAGCACTTGGCCCCACTTCCTCCTACTTGAAATTTTCTTTCCTCGCGGCGGCTTCGACAACAATTGCCTGATTTGCTTTCTCAGTTTTTAGGTGTTCATTCTCAGTTGTCTTTGGAGGCGCTTCTTTTCTAATTCCTGTAAATTTTGTATTTTTTTCCCTCAGGACTCTGTCCTAGCACCTCTTCTTGTCTTATTCTCTACTCTCTCTCGCCCTCAATGATCTCATCCACTCCCATGAATTCTAATACCACCTATATGAAAATTACTCCATATTTATGTTTAGCCTAGACCCATTTCAGAAGGGTAAGTTGATATTATCTGATATTAAACCATGACGACAAGCTTACCTGCATATGTCCAAGTGTTTTCCCAAAAGCTTTTCTTTGTTTAACGTAGTTCCTGGTTTCTTCAAACATGAATTCACTGGCTGAAACTCCAAAGTCAGCAATTAGTAGCCTTTCCTATAACCCCAAAATTAGGCATTTAACATTATTCTAATTATACAAGTGATTTTCACATGATCTCAATGATAATAAGCCCCATAAATAATCTTTATAAAACTCCAAACAATTAATTTATTTCTTAACTCTTTATAAAAAAGGCTCCTACGATTTCTAAGAATATTTTGACACGTCTGTAAATCCCTAAGCAAATCCTTTATGTTTATAAATGACTGTCTTCACTATATATAGATATATATCTAATTTATTAAATTCCCTCTTATCTTTATTCATCTATGAGTAAAGAAATTCTGAAATTGTTAATTTTTATTTATTGATGTCTGCACACTACCTATCCTAATATATCTATGGAAATTAACATCTTAAAGTGCATAGGTTAAATTCTTCCTACTAGAGCAAAAGTATCCACAGTCAGTTTAATTCCATCTTGCTGGTGATTTTCATATCCTATTTCTGTGCCAGTGTTTGTAGCCCTTATCACCAATTTCATGTTTGGCTCATGCTGTTCCAGTTACTAGGCAGCTACAGCCTCTTATTCTGGCATATAAGGCTCAGTGATAGCAACCACAATTCCCAAAACACAAGTGTGAGGGCTGACCCTATGTACAATAGCTAAAACTTTTTAGCCTGAGCTTAACAGTGTTCCCCTTTGATTCCCAGGTATTATAAAAAAACAAACCAAACTGTATTTTGGCTGACATTTCTTTACAAAGAGATAAGAATTCTTGACATGTGGTTAAGAAGCTAAAATCATTCCAATAAGGAATCAGAACTGAAATACCTATTTCCCTACTCACTTATAAAATTTGACTGAATGTCCCTTTGTTCCGTTATTTACTTATCTAGCCTACAAAACTCATATATATATTTTTTACAACTTTCTAGTCAAATGATTAGCTATGTCACAAATTTTTCATTCATGGATTTATATAGTTCTACATTATTCTTTTCCAGTCCATTATCTAATCAAAACACGAAATCTTTAATACTTCTGACCTGTGAAAGCTGTTGCCGGGCGTAATAGAAGCCTCTATTCTCTTCTCCAAGTAGGGCACTTGCTGGCAACCGTACATCTTCAAAGAATAATTCTGCAGTATCCTAAGAGATCATACAATTCAGTACAGAATTATCTCATTTAAATCTCACAATAACCTAATGAGATTATTATTTCCATTTAAGAAAAAAAACAAAAACAAAACAAACTGGAAGCCAAGATGGAGTGGTTAATGAATACACAGTAAATGGTAAACCAGGGATTCAAACCCAGGTTCACCTGATTCCAAAACTTCTGGCTTTCCCACTGCAATGTACCATCATTCTAGCTCCAGTACTGTCCAGTTATGAAGGTACTGAGGACGAAGGATTTCTAATGCATATGAAATAAAATGTTTTTCTTTTCAGTAGTGAAAAAATTACCAAACAATAGAAAAAATATTTCCTGTTCTTATTTCATAATTTTCTTTAATATATTTAATAACTAGAGGGCCTATTATCTTGTAGTTAATTTTGCCATTTCTAAAGCAGATATTCAAAATACCCTGATTCACATCCATTGCTGACCACCGGAAAGAGATGTGTTGCATAAATGGTGGAATAAATCTTCATTATTATTTCTGAGAAGCATATTTTAGGAATTCAGAATTGGAAGAAATAATTGTATTTTATGTAGTTCTATATATAAGGCATAATTGAATAAATTCAATTATTTATAAAGCATTTATTATTAAAAATTGAGTAAACTCAGTTATTACCTGAATGTGATTTATATTAAGACTTACCTGGGCTTTTAGTCCCATTTTTTGTAGCTTTCGTCCCTTGATAAATCCTTTCATTCCATTTTCCACCAGAAAAAAGCTAAAGCCATGGGAAGGAGAGCGAGTCTCATGACTCGTGACTGACAGTACCAACACAACGTCGCATAGCCACCCATTAGAGATGAATACCTGAAAAACCCCAAGTATACTGTGATGCTCCCCAGTAAGTCAGGTCCATGTGCAAGTCATTATTAGGGGAAAGTATAATCAAGAAGACTAAACCAGTCAAGACATCCTTCATAACTCTCTCTGTACTCTATTCAAGAGTGTTAATTATTCATACATGAGGTTATTAAAGAGTAGAAGAGAAATAACCCAATGCGTCAAACAATGAAGCCTATACAGGCCTTCTATAAAATGAGCATCCTTTCTTTTTTTTTTTTTTAA